CAAGGAAGCCCCACTACTACTGTCTTAATTCTTGGTGATTTCAAAAGATATTTAAATGGGACTTCCAGTAACCTGACACTTCTGTTCCTTGATTATCTTTCTTATAATGACATGATCTCAGCTACTCAATCCTATGGTCATAGGTTAGACCTTGGCAGTACCAGTCATGCAGCCGACCTGTAATCTCAAAGTCAGAGTTCACCTGCTGCCCCCTGGCCTTCACTTGCTACCTGATTTCCCTCCTCCTGCCATCACTGAACCAATTAAGATCTGCAGTCACTGATGCTGCTCTCAGTTCACTGCTCCTTACCCTCTTGAACTCCTGTTTTCTTCCCCAGCCAGTTTAAGTTGCCCTGGTCAATTATTGTAATTACTTTTTGCATATACCTTTGTCTCCCTTGCCCCTCTCTTGCTTTATTCCTCCTATTTTTTTTTTTTTTTCAGTACACGCGCCTCTCACTGTTGTGGCCTTTCCCGTCACGGAGCACAGGCTCCGGACGTGCAGGCTCAGCGGCCATGGCTCACGGGCCTAGCTGCTCCGTGGCATGTGGGATCTTCCCGGACCGGGGCATGAACCCGTGTCCCCTGCATTGGCAGGCGGACTCTCAACCACTGCGCCACCAGGGAAGCCCCTCTCCTATTTTTTATTTTAATAAAACTATAACCCTGATTAAATCTGATTCTTCACCTCTTAGGTAGCTGAATGTGGCTCTAGGAAAGCACTGATTGGGCCTCACTGGAAGTGCATGACCTCAGCTCTCAAGTGCATCCTTTTGCTGCTCAGTGGTCTCACCTCAGTGCCCTTGTCCAGTCCCTCTCCAGTCCAGTTCCTTTCCAGCTCTCCGTAAGGATGGGGTGGCTCCATCTCAGACCCACAACTCTTCCTCCTAGGGCCTACTTTCAGTCGATTTCCATACTTGGTACTTTACTGAGAAAATTGAACTTCCACATGACTGTACTGGCTTATAAGATTTTCTTGGTGTATTTAGGTGTGGTTTTTAAAATTATTTATGTTTCTTTGGTTATTTGGGGTTCTTGAATCAGTGAATTAGTGTATTTCATCAATTCTGGAATTCGCTTATTAGCCTTTATCTCAAATACTGCCTCTACCCCATTCTTTTCTGAGACTTCAATGTAAAATCTTCTCACTTTGTCTTTTCTTTCTTAACATCTCTTCTGCATTTTCTATCATTTTGCTCTCCATGCTGCCTTCTGGATAACTTCTTTTACCTATATTCCAGATTCCTTATATATCTTCATTTCTGTGTGAGCTGTTGTTAAATGTGAGTTCTTAATTTTAGCAATTTTATCTTCCGGTTCTCAAAATTCTATTTGTTCCTTTGCAGGTTTGCTGTCCCTTGAAATTTCCTGTTCCTTGCAGATCTTTCAGCCTTATCTTTTATTTCTTTCAACAGAGTAAGCTTAATTTTATCATATGGGTACAGTAATTGTGGCATCTTGAAGTCTTCAGTGGGTATTGGTCTATGTCCAATCAGGAAAAGAGAGAACACTGAGATGTTTCAAGCAGAGAAGGACTTAGTGAAGTATTTGATTGCAAAGGTGCTAGAAGGGTTCAGGGAGGAGAGGTGTCTGCGGGAGGCATGGCTGCTGAGGCCCTGAGCTCTCCTGCAGCTATGGTTGCCTCTTCTGCTCTTTCCCACTCCCTTTTAATTTCCCACCAGTGCTTCTTCCCTTTGGAGCAATCTAGGAAGATTCCAGCTGGCAAGAAGTCTTGTATATGTAGTTTTCAGGCCTCTAACCCTCTGTAACAAAGGCAGAAAAGAACTGAATACCAACAGACAGTCTTCTCTTGGTTCTTGCTCCTAAAGTCGTGTTTGTCTTTGTGTGCCTGGTTATTTTTGGATACTTGCATTTCAGAATTACTTGGAATAATTCACAGCCTTGAGTCTTTTCATCTGCTTGTCAGATCCCTGGGCGGCGTACCTGTCTGCGATATGAGATGACAAAATCAGGTGAATACCAGAAATTTCTTATGGTTCAGTCTGGTAGAAATTATGACAAATTATCTGGAGACCTAGTTTTTCATTTTAGTAATAATTGATTACCAGTGCTACAATTCATTCATCAATTAAACAGATATTTGAGCTCCTTCTTTGTGCTAGATGCTGGATTTAGTCAGTGAAGAGAAACCAATTTGGGGGGGTGGTTATATACTTACGGAGGTTACAAATTTAAGTCTCGTATACTGTTGGAAAATGAAATGCTTTGTAGGTAGAGCAGGAAAGGGGAAACTGGGAGTACAGATGGGAAGATTACAGTTGTCACTGGAAAGGTGACATTTGAATGAAATGAGCCAGTAGGACATCAGCAGAAGAGGGGCCAATGCAGAGAGGCCCTGGAAAAGGCGGGGAAGGAGGCTGGCTGAGGCAGAGAGACGGAGGGTGGGTAGGTGAAAAGGAAAGAAGAGCAGACTGAGTAGGGCCTTGTCGGACCTTGTAGGGACCCTGGTTTCGAAAGTGAGCTGATGGGAAGAGTTCAAAGGAATGAAATGATCTGAATTCTGTTTGAAGAGGCTTTTCTCTGGCTGCTTTGGTTGGAATGCATTTTCTTTCTAATTAAGTAAAAAATTAATTGGGATTTCATTAACAAATGATCTCTATGTGTTTATATGTTAAGTTTATTCAAGAGTCTTTTAGCACCTACCATGAGCATAGTAGCCTATAACCAAGTGAATAAAATGGTGGTTGCCTTACAGAGTCTGAAGCAGATAAAATTTTATTTACTATGTGTAACAGTTTACTTACAAATAGCCATTCTTATGCAGTCTGATGTCTTATTTTGATGACCTGTATGTAATGATCAACCCAAGCAGTTAGTGTTAAGATCTTAAAATTATTCTCCATGTCACTTTTTAGTATAATTAACTAAATGCATCTGAGTTATAGCTCTCATCTCATTTTTTATTTCTTTCTCAGCAAGAGAACTTTTTTTTTTTTGGCTGCACCATGTCGCTTGTGGGCTTTGAGTTCCCCAACCAGGGATTGAACCCAGTCCCTCAGCAGTGAGAGCATGGAGTCCTAACCACTGGACCGCCAGGGAATTCTCTCACGAAGAGAACTTGAAACGCTTACACATATATGACATAGAATATGTATGTATTTTCATCTACCATGGAGCCACTTTGACTGCTATGGTTGTTTTTAATAAAGAGAGCTGCTCTGAATCTTAAAGTACCATTTGTAAGTTTCCTAAAAAGTTTTTATATCTGCTCCAAGGTTTTCATCCCTGTCCTGGAGGAAGGCTGGGGACCATTCCTGACTATGTGTTCCTCAGTTATACTTTTGACTTAGGAGTGTTTTGACAGTTCCTAGGTATAAATAAAGGAGAAAGAGAATTAGTGGGTAATTCAGTCCCTGACTAATCAGTCTGGTGCTATAATAGAAATGTATGTGGGAGGAGGGAATGCAGGGTTTCCCTTTCATTTCATTTATTTCCACATTTTGCTTTTAAATTGAACTTAATTAAAATGGGGTAGCCAGATATCTGAGTCAGTTAACAGCTTGTAAGAAGAAATAAACAATTCAGACAAGCCTTTGCTGTTCTTGTTGTTATAGTAGTTATTCATTTGGATATTTTGCTGTTTTACCTTTTATTGAGGAATGGACGTAGAAAAACCATCGAGATATAAATGTACAGCTCAGTGAATTATCTCAAAAAAAGAAATACCCACCCTTCATATGTTAATGGTGGGAATGTAAAATGGTGCAGTCACTTTGTAAAACAGTTTGGCAGTTTCTCAAAAAGGTAAAGAGTTACCATATGACCCAACAATTCTACTTCTAGGTATATATCTAAGGGAATTAAACATGTCTACACAAAAATACATGCAAGTGTTCATAGCAGCATTATTCATAATCAAAAAAATGGAAACAAGCCAAAGGTCCACCATCCAGTGATGGATAAACAGAATGTGGTATATTCATACAATGGAATATCATTCAGCCTTAAAAAGGAATGAAGTATTGATACATGCTACAACATGAATGGACTTGAAAACATACTAAAAGAAGCAAGTCACAAAAGGCCACATGATTCTTTTTGCATTAAATATCCAGAATAGGCAAATCCCTAGAGACAAAGCAAATCAGTGGTTGCCAGGGTTGGGGGGTAGGGAGTGACTGCTAAGGGTATGAGATTTCTTTCTGAGGTGCTGAAAATGTTCTGGAATTAGATAGTGGTGAAGACTGTACAACTCTGTGAATATATTTTAAAAAACACTGAATTATACACTTTAAAAGGGTGAATTTAGTGGTATGTAAATTATACCTCAGCTCCTTTTTTTTTTAAAGGCAAACCAGACACATCCATGTGTGTTTAACCACCAAAGTTAACAGAATATAGACAGTACCCCAGAAGACCCCCCCATCCCCCTCCCGATCAATGACCCAAGTTATTCTTGGGGGGAAAAATAGCAGCTGTTTCTACTGCTACTGTTTGCTTCTCAGAAGAAGCCATTGTTGTAGACTAAGTATGAAGCTTTATTCTCTCAGCGTTTAGCTAGGACCAGCAGGGAACGTTTTGTAAAATACCATTTAATCAAATGCTTCTTTGTGATTTCATGGTGCCATTGTGACGTACCTTTCAAAACAGGTGGCTATGTACTCTTGCTTTTATTTATTTTTTAATAGAAATGAGTTTAAAGTTTTTAACTAATTTTTTTCACATAACTTTTTTTTTTTGTACCACATGTATTATTAGCCTGATCTCTTTGTCAGTAGTTTGGACTTAACTATTAAATATTTCTTATTTTAATGCTCTGCCTAATCATAGGCACCCCCCGCCCCAGCTCACACTAGCGGTATGGTTTATTAAAACTATCTTTTGGGGGAGCCAGATTAGCATTAATAGTTCTTTTATTCTACATATCATATCTGATCTTAAATTTTAAAAGAAACTACCCCTAAATATTTTTATGTTTTTAAATGTTTTAAACCCAGAATAAGGTCAGTGTTGATTTTTTTTTTTTTTTTGCTTTTCAGCGATGTCTTGGCATTGCCAATTTTCAAGCAGGAAGATTCCAGCCTTCCACTGGATGACGAAACCAAACACCCGCCCTTCCAGTATGTGATGTGTGCAGCAACGTCACCAGCTGTGAAGCTGCACGATGAAACACTCACGTACTTGAACCAAGGTTGGTACGGCTGCATCACACTTTAAGAGTTCACAAAAATCTGAAATAGTATTTTGGCATTGCAGCCTAGATTAATGGTAATAATTGAAAATTAGATTCTTTTTCTCAATTTTTACAACTTTAGTTGTAAAATTGTAGGAATTTTAGTGTGAGCCAGCAAAGCAATTGTTTGTGGAAACTTATTTGCACAAAGAGGGTCTGTGGAACAAGATTTATTACAGGATTTCTTTAGACAAAATCCAGAGGAGGAGCAGGTAATAAAGGATGTCAGTTATTTTTAGGAACATGGTTTCAGTGTGGAACTTGAGAATGAATCAGAAGTCCAGCTAGCAAGGGACTTGGTCTCAGGAACGAAGCAGGTTTGTGCTGATAATAGACTCCAGCAAGGTGGAGTCTGTGGCTAAAGTAAACTGCGTCAAATCTTGTCTACACTTAATGAGAATACTATGTTACGGTGATATGAAAGCGAGAGTGGGCAGAATGGAAAATAGAGCTGTGAGGGTAGGATATACAGTTGGAAAGAGGAAAGGATTTTTTTTTGAGGTGCTCTCAGCAGTTTGGGCACTGGCCAATGTGACTTACCAATGTAAACAAAAGTACTTAGTTATGCAGGAATTCATTTGTTGGAGACCTATACTGACAGCATGTTGGACTCTTATTTTTAAAAAGAATTGAACGTTTTTATTGTTATAAAAATAGTACATACTTCGTAGAAAAATTGGGGAATATGTCAAGAGATAAAGCTGAAAATGGACTTCAGTTACATCCCCCTCAGGAGAACCAGTTAACATCCTAGGTGTGTTTCCTTGTCTGTATATTTATTTTATTTCAACAAAATGGGAATTAACATCTGTTCACGTAAGAGTATATTCTGATTATTTTTCTGTCATTAAACAGACTCTTTAATTCCTCAAACTTTTGGAAGGAACTATAGATTTTAGACTACTTACTAGTGATTATTTCAAAATGTGGAAGAATAGCTTCTAACTTTTCATTTAACATATTAATTTAGAATTTATGAGGTTTTACTTCAGGTAATTCTAATTTGTAGCCTATGGCAACACTAATTTTGTTGTTACTATTATTTTCGGATTTGTTTGGGTAGGCATTCAATTTGAGACTTAAGGTTCTTTCAAATCTGAAACTTGAGTCTCTATGGTAATCTGTTTTAGCTATAAAAATATCAGAAGAAGCAGTGTAGAGGTAAGGCTACAATATTCAGTGTAGCTTTATTTTTAATGACAAAAAAAGGAAATAACCAGAATTTCTCTTACTTAGGGAATAGTTGCATAAGTTACATGTATACCATGGGATGAATGAGCACATGCACATACACCCCTCTGTTTAAAGAACATTGGATATGTCTGTCTCTTGGCCTGGGGGAATATCCATAACTTATCACTGTTATTGTTAAACTGGTAAAGACATCTCACACTGATAAAAATTGCAGTCCACCATCTATAGTGATAATGTATTAGACCTACATTCACAGAGTGCTGACTGTGTATGAAGCAGTGTACTAAATACTATATGTTGTCTCACTTCCCACAATAACCTGAGAAGTGTTATTGATCCATTACAGATTTTAAAAACAGAAGCTTAGAGCAGTTGATAGACTTGCTCAATGTCAGTTTGTTCAAGCTTAAATTTTAAAAAATAGTTACTGAATATCTACAGTAGTGTGCACAAGTCTTTTTTTGTTTTTCCACACCGCCCGGCATGTGGAATCTTAGTTCCCCAACCAGGAATCTAACCTGTGCCTCCTGCAGTGGAAACATGGATCCCTAACCTCTGGACCACCAGGGAATCCACCACAAGTCTTAAGTGTACAGCTCAGTGAATATTTACACAGATCATTCCCTTGAAAATACTACCTATGTCCAGTATTTCCAGTACCCTGGCAGGCTCCCTTGTATCCCCCTCCCAGCTGACACCCCACGTTCATGGTGATCAGTATAATAAGTGCAAGTGATTTCCTGGCATGTGACTATGCTCCCTGCAATATTAATAATAAGTATGTTCTTGGTTGTAGAATTGTGTTAATTTACCTCTTAATTTCTCCCAGCCTTTTAAGGAAAAAAAAGTGGAAAAGTGAACTGCATATACAGGCTGCATTTTTGAAAACAAATATTTGAATAATCATTAAAAATGCATTTGAGTAACCATAAAGAAATTCTACTTTTATAAACTTTTTTAGAAGAAATTATAATACTTTAAACTTACATGAATATCAGACAGTTCTTTCGCAGGTTTCTCTCCTAGCATTTATCTCCTAGCATTATATTTTGACAAAAGGTTGTGAACCCAAGATTTTTTGTGAATCCCCTAAATCATTTTCAAATTTTTAATGAATGTATATTTTTCTAAAGAGAGGATCCATAGCTTTTCCTAGATTCAGGCTAAGTTTGAACCTGATTGAGATGTTGCTCGAGTGTCTTTCACCCCACCTCTTTTATTTTTTTATTTTTATTTTTTTGTGGTACACAGGCCTCTCACTGTTGTGGCCTCTCCCGTTGCGGAGCACAGGCTCCGGACGCACAGGCTCAGTGGCCATGGCTCACGAGCCCAGCCGCTCCACGGCATGTGGGATCTTCCCGGACCAGGGCACGAACCCGTGTCCCTTGCATCGGCAGGCGGACTCTCAACCACTGCACCACCAGGGAAGTCCCACCCCACCTCTTTTAAACTGATAAGTTAACAAAGGTCCAGACTTAGCAAAGTGTCTTTTTTTTTTTTTAATTGAAGTATAGTTGATTTACAATATTGTGCCAGTCTCTGCTGTACAGCAAAGTGACTCAGTTATACACATATATCCATTCTTTTATCATACTCTTTTCCATTATGATTTATCCCAAGAGACTGGATATAGTTCCCTGTGCTATACAGTAGGACCTTCTTGTTTATCCATTCTAAATGTAATAGTTTGCATCTACCAACCCCAGACTCCAAATCCATCCCTCTCCCTTCCCTTGGCAACCACAAATCTGATCTCTGTGTCTGTGAGTCTCTTTCTGTTTTGTAGATAAGTTCATTTGTGCCATATTTTAGATTCCACATATAAGTGATGTATTTGTCTTTCTTTTTCTGACGTACTTCACTTAGTATGATAATCTCTAGTTGCATCCATGTAGCTGCCAATGGCATTGTTTTGTTCTTTTTTATGGCTGAGTAGTATTCCATTTTATATATTTACCACATCTTCTTTATCCATTCATCTGTTGCTGGACATTTAGGTTGTTTCCATGTCTTGGCTATTATGAATAGTGCTGCTATGAACATAGGGGTGCCTTATCTTTTGAATTATAGTTTTGTCTGGATATATGCCCAGGAGTGGGATTGCTGGATCACATGGTAATTCTATTTTTAGTTTTCTGATGAACCTCCATACTGTTTTCCATAGTGGCTGCACCAGCTTACATTCCCACCAAGAGTGTAGGAGGGTTTCCTTTTCTTCACACCCTCTCCAGCATTTGTTGTTTGTAGACTTTTTAATGATGGCCATTCTGACCTGTGTGAGGTGACACCTAATGGAAGTTTTGATTTGCATTTCTCTAATAATTAGTAACATTGAGCATATTTTCATGTGCCTACTGGTCACCTGTATGTCTTCTTTGGAGAAATGTCTATTAAGGTCTTATGCCCATTTTTCGTTTGGATTGTTTGTTTTTTTGTTGTAGCATTGTATGAGCTGTTTGTGTACTTTGGAGATTCAGCCCTTTTGGCATCACATCATTTGCAAATATTTTCTCCTGTTCCATAGTTTATGGTTTTGTTTTTTGTTTTTAATAGTTTCCTTTGCTATGGAAAGTCTTGTAAGCTTGATTAGATCCCATTTTTTAATTTTTGTTTTTATTTCTATTGCCTTGGGAGACTGACCTAAGAAAACATTGGTACAATTTATGTCAGAGAATGTTTTGCATATGCTCTCTCCTAGGAGTTTTATGGTGTCATATGTTTAAGTCTGTAAACCATTTTGAGTTTATTTTTGTGCATGGTGTGAGGGTGTTTCCTAACTTCATTGATTTACATGCAGCTGTCAAACTTGCCCAGCACCACTTGCTGAAGAGACTGTCTTTTTCCCATTTTATACTCCTGCCTCCTTTGTCAAAGATTAATTGGCCATAGGTGTGTGGATTTATTTCTTGGCTCTCTCTTGTGTTCCATTGATCCGTATGTCTGTTTTTGTACCAATTCCACATTGTTTTGATTACTGTAGCTTTGTAGTATTCTGAAGTCTGGGAGAGTTATGCCTCCTGCTTTTTTTTTTTTTTTCCCCCTCAGGATTACTTTGGCAATTCTGGGTCTTTTATGGTTCCATACAAATTTTTGGATTATTTGTTCTAGTTCTGTGAAAGATGTCATGGGTAATTTGATAGGGATTACATTAAATCTGTAGATTGCTTTGGGTAGTATGGTCATTTTAACAGTATTAATTCTTCCAATCCAAGACCATGGGATATAATTTCCTTTATTACTGTTTTATAGTTCTCAGTGTATGAGTCTTTCACCTCCTTGGTCAAATTTATTCCTAGGTTGTTTTTTTTTTTTTGGTGCAATTTTAAAAGGTACTGTTTTTTTACATTCCTTTCTGGTATTTCATTGTTAGTGTAAAGAAATGTAACTGATTTCTGAATGTTACTCTTGTATCCAGCTACTTTGCTGGATTCATTTATTAGGTCTGATAGTTTTTGTGTGGAGTCCTTAGGGTTCTCTGCATAGTATCATGTCATCTGCATATAATGACAATTTTACCTCTTCCCTTCCAATTTGGATACCTTTTATTTTGTTTTCTTGTCTGAATCCTATGGCCAGGACTTCCAATACTATGTTGAATAGAAGTGGTGAGAGTGAGTATCCTTGAGTGTTTTTTTTTAATTTTTAAAAATTTTTTATGTTTTTGGCCACGCTGTGTGGTATGTGGGATCTTCGTTCCGCAACCAGTGATCGAACCCACGCCCCCTGCATTGGAAGCGCAGAGTCTTAACCACTGGACAGCCAGG